TGAAGTCAAAATAAATCATGCAGCAAGAGTTATTGCTGAAGGAGATGGCTGAATGAAGAAAAGGTTTCTTAGCACAACCCAGTTAGCCCATTAAATGTTAATAACTTACTGTGGAGACAGATGGGAACAGTCACTCGTAAACTGACTGCTAACCCAAATATATGATGTCTGAGAGATGATGGGCAAATTGCCCAGGACCTGAGAGAGCAGAGACACAACTGCCTACATAAACAATTCTTTGCCGCAGCTCTGTTAAAACAAACATCCATCCAAAATCATGCAGCAATGGCAACACAGAATGAATTACCTTAGTGAGTTCTGTCCATATTTGCAATGCCTTGGGCCTGATTATCTGTAACGTGCTGACTGCCCTCAACTCTAAGGGCCAGATTTTCAGAAAGGCTCAGCACCCACAATTGGAGCAAGATTTTCAAGAGAGTTCAGCTCCGTATTAGGCACTTAGACAAGTGAGCAGATTCTCAAAGGAGCTTAAGTTTTGATACCCTGGACCTTATTTGAGTGCCTAAATGGGAACCGAGCTCTTCATCTGGTCCCTTCTTGATTTAAGTGGGAATTGAGGGTGCTCAGCTCCTCACAGAAGGTCCGTAGCATCTTAAAAATGATTCACGCCGCTGGATAATGAACATCTGGCTACAATTCGGGCTGTGTGACCCTGGTACTTTACCAGGAGCATGTTTCATTAGAGTTTTAATTTCCTCATGCACATTTCTAAATACTGAAGTAATTTTATCTCTAGATTTTGACTAAAACGAAGGATTAATTAATGGAAGTAGGTCAAAAATTCTCTGTCTGGGTATTGGGCTGAGTTGGAAAAAATCCAGCTATGGGTACCTCATCCAAAAGCAAGTGGAGAAATAAATGAATCATCATCCAAAAGCCAGAGAGAAGGCCTGAAGCTGTGAAAGCGCAGAGAAGTGGCAGGTATGTTTACAGATGTTTTATAGCCCTGTCTACACTACAGACAGAGCCATGTTAAATGTAACCAGGGACTGACAGACTCATTGACAAGAGTACAGAAAACATGGATCACATAACAGCATTTTTCCCACTACAACTGTATATTAATTTGGTAGGCTCGTATTCATCTGCCACACTGCACAACCCTGAGATCAACAGATCAATATTATTAAGGCCAAAAAGAACACTATGATCATGCTGTCTGACTTCTTCATAGCACACAGGCCATAGAATTTTACCCAGTAATTCTCATAGTTGAAGAAATTCTATTATCAATCATCATCAGTGCATTCTGTGAAAATGCAGGCAGCTGTTTTATATAGCCTTAGCTCCTGGTGCCAGGGGCGGGGGTTAAAGTTGTTTTTCACATGGTGCATTGCGCTTTTGAGATATCCTCCTGCATAGACTTGGGGCCTGATTCTTTATTGCCTTGCATGTGGTGTAGTCATGTACAGCCTGTGTAAAGTGAGTGTGAAATACTACCAATATCAAAATGAAAGCATTTTACACCCACTTTGCACAGGTGTACGTGACTACGCAAGATGCAAGGCAGTGAATAATCAAGCCTGTGGGAGACAGCAGTACCGGTTAAACAGGTAACAGACACGGTGTTAGTCCCCCCTATTCATGTTTGAACTAAGGCAGAACACTATTCAAGTTCAGTGCTGCAATAAGGAACACCCACATGGTTAGGAATCATGTGTTTATCATGTTGCATGTGTGGGATCAACCTTGCTACATCCTAGTTACCAACTTAGTAAAAAACCCCATTATAGTGTAGGTGAATATTCTGGAAGAGGGCTTTCCATACATACAGTCCTTCAGCAGCTTTGTTTCATCCTTTGCAAGGCCAACCATTATCCTCCAACACAATTCTCATTCCCAATTAATATTCTGCACAGGAAGTATCAAAGGACCTAGCATTACATTATTATCCAGTAGTACAGCTCTACTGTGTTCCACATCAAGCTAAGCCAGGGTCATGAAAGTATATCACCCAGACTTCTATTACCTCTGTTCTCACAGGACTTTAGTAGAGGGCACTACTATTCTGATTCTTACGGGAGGGGAAGTGGGGAGTAACTTTTTTTTTGGTGGTGGTGGGGGTTGGTTCAGGGTCAGACCTTGGAAAACTTACACTGGTGAGTGGTTACTAACACAAGTAATCCCATTGACTCAAAGCACAGTACTTTCGTGAAGAACTACCAGTGAGCACAAGAGGTTCACAACCTGGTTCATAAGTAACTTGATACAATTTGCAGTAATAAAGGTATTTTCTCAGTAAATATAGAGAAGCAGAAGACAATAGAGCCAATAGTGAAGTAATCATATTTATTTTTTGTTCTGTATTTGTACAGCACCTAGCACAATGGGGTTCTGGTCCAAAACTAGGCACTACAGTAATACAAATAATAAATAATATTAAAAATAATATTTATCTGAGGTAAAACTGGCAATCATTTCAATTTCAACACTGCAGTACATGCAAAGGGAGAAGAAAAGGAAGAAATGATACTTTCTGTCCCTCGGCAGCATCTCAGTAGCTTAGATAGGGCGCTGCTTCAACTAAGGGAGAATCAGAGGTTTTGATATTTTATTTTATTCTAGGAAGCTGAGATTTGATGATTCATTTGGATCTTCTCATGTCTGTCTCTGGAAACATCACTGGCACACATACCCTAGTACTTTGCTTTGTATTGCTTTGGCTGATTTTATTACATCATAATGGGGTTACTGATAGAAGCCAGGAGTCTAAGAAATCTGCAGACCGACTTTTCAGCTAGCTAGTTCAAGCTGACAGGAATAGAACAACTGATTTCTGTGGGTCAAGAGAACAGAGCCTTCACATGTATCCCCTGGGACTCATCCTTGTGAGCCTTCTGGGTTCATGCTGTCTCTGCCCTTCCCCTAGAAACAAAATACCCAAACATCCTGCACTCACTGGTACCAACATGACTCTCACAGGAGCTCCCACGATAGCCCCCTCATATATTATTAACGATTTATTTTTTAAACTGACTCATTTGTACAGCAAATTTTTGGATGAGCATCCATGAGGGGAAAAACCCAACCCCATAGTTACAAATGGCATGAAACTACTCTCATTATTACTATAGGGGACAGACAACAGGACAGCTGTAGATGTCACTATTTCACTGTACTATTGGGCATAACAGAACATTTGTGGCCCACCCACTATTGCAGGGTGAAAGTCCCAGCTTGGAAAACATTCCTCTAGACTGACTATTATCCTGCTGGATTTGGCTTCCATGTGTTTCTCTGTTCTTCCAGCCTCTTGAACTATTGACTTCTTTAATATAGTCTTAAGTCAATTTATTTTCCCTTACTACTATTTAGTTGCATTAAGCGTTAGGTTCATTGGTCACAGAGTCCTTGATCTTAAGCTGTGATAAAAAGGGACTATGAAAACCATTAGGGATGCCAGGGCTTGTGATACTTTCTGGGCACTGCCAAAGAGGCAGACTGCAGTTTCTAAACACTTGGTAAGCCTACTGTATCTCTGGTGTGTCTCTATTTACCTTGCCTTTTTAGCAGGCCATGTTAGTAGAATATCTTAACCCTTCAGCACTCCAGTAGACTACAAGGATTGAGATGAAGAATTCTGCTACGGCGGCAGGTTTCACAGATAGATTGCAGCCATATATGCTTCCAGCAGCTTCCTTCTGATTATCCCTCCATTTCTTCTAGAGTTCCCTTCTCTATACACAATCCTCATGGAAATCATGGCACCATGTTCTGGTAGCCTCCATCACTGTATTACAGCTATTCACTAAAACCACTCACTTCATGCTAACGCTATTAGCTTATCATAAGTGATGAGGATACTGAACTGCTGGATTTGGATTTGAATAAATATCTTTCTTCAGCAAAATTTGTGAACACTGCACGTAGTACCACACTCTGGTTAGCGGAGGCACCTGAGCTGAAGCCCCTTGGCTATAACCGAGAAGGCAGATTCCAGAGCATTCTCCATTCACTCCAAACCTTTGGAATATTCTTCCTCCTAAGGTTCACAGCAGCCAGAGTTTTTCTGCATTCAGGACATGCTGCAAGGCCCACCTTTCTTCTCTTGTCTGTGAGATGGGTGTTGGACAGGGCTGGTGCTCTGGGGATTGTATTGGGGTTGGTTTGATTCTGTTATAATATATATATAGTCATTAGGTTATCTGAGATGATCTTGGGTAACTGATGTGTCTGTTTGTTTTATAGTGCATTTTTTAAGATTAAGGGTGCCATGAGCATTGGAGGGATATTCTTTTGTTAGACTTTGTAAAAACATAAATAAATAAATATTTTACACTATGCTGATACCTCGGGCACTACCAGCCCTTAGTCAAGTATCTTGTTTTGGTCAAGCACTGGAAAACCTTGTTTAGTCACTTAGGGCCAAAATTCTATCTTCACATATGTTGCACCCAGCTCCAGCTGACTTCAGTGAAAACTGCATGTGCTCATTTATGGCCAGAATTTGGCCCATGGAATTTCTCACTTTTACAAACTATAGAGTGTAGACCAAGCAAAAGAAAAAAAGAACAGAGACAACACAACTTGAACAACATCCCCAAAGCCTCCAGAGGGAGGCTAGCTCAGCTGGAAAGGAAAGATAGTTCAGTGGTTAGAGAGCTAGATTTTGGAGACCCAGGATTCAAGTCCCTGCTTTGCCACAAACTTCCTGTGTGACCTTGAGCAAGTCACCTAGTCTCAGGCCTCAGTTTCCCATCTATAAAATAGGGACAACAGCACTTCCCAACCTCACAAGGGTGTTGTGAAGATAAATACATGAAAGATTTATACAAATACAGATTTATATTAAATACACAATAAGATACTACAATAATGGGGGCCATAGGATACACAGATAGGAAACCTCAGAACAAACAAATATACACATAAAACTCCACACAGTCAGCACAATAGCCAACTGTTATCATGTATGTTGCACAGTTAATAACATTGCAGACTGCACTTTATTTTACAATAGTGCAGTAAAGTTTACTTACTCATCTGGGAACTCCACCGCCTTGTTCTTGATCTTGTTATGGAGAGACAGAATGTATTCATCTATAAAAGGGCACTACAAAACAAAGCAATGGTTTTCCAGCTGTTAGGCATCTCAAGTGTTTAGCAATTGCCATTCAGATATACTTTTGTTACACGTTTCTTAAGAATTTGACCCATAAGATACATGCAGGGTATGTTAGTAAAATCTTCCCACCTCTCACAAGCAGAATTATGCCTTACTTAAAAAATTAAAGGCAGAGATTTTAAAAGAGCAGGGTTGCCCAGCGAATGCAGCACTCGAGTGAGACTCAAGAGATCTGGTTTCTATTCCAGACTCTGCCACTGACCTGCTGGGTCACCATGGGCAAGTCACTTCGTCTCTGTGCCTCAGTTTACCCATCTGTAAAATGGGGGTAACAATACTGGCCTTCTTTGTAAAGCACTTTAAGATCTACTGATGAAAAACTCTGTATAAGTGCTAGGTAATATTGTTTACCATACAAAAGGCAATTAAGAAATTAATCTCCAAAATTAATAGTGGAGATTCACCTGTCTGAGAACAAAGATGAAGCAAGAAAATTACCCATGGCCAGGGGATGGAATCCAATCCACCCTGCACACATGTAACTTGCACGAACGCTGCGGGTTACCATGTAGCCTCTATTCCAGTCTATGGAATGCGTCTGCTGCTGCTTTAGACTTCTAGACAACAGTTACTGGATTTGTGTAAGCACAGATCCAATGGTTCCATTCCTACCCCTCTCCCCTCAATGCTCTCCTATACACAAGTTTATCTGAAGCCGGTGGGAAACCCTCATTCACAGCACACACACAGGGGTGTAATCCCCATGTGGTGTTGCTCTGTCAGCCAGTGCCATGCAGGGCTACCATGGGGATTTTTGGTCAGGAGGACCTTGTATGAAGCCTCCACAAGTAGGCGAATTCCACTCAACAGAATATATGGGTGTATTTTTATATGATACATGGAAAATTACTTCCTTCTTTAGTTGCCTGCTGTGATGTCAGTTCATAGTTCTGGGGCCTTCTATGACAGCTAGTCAGATCACAGACTCCCCCTGACTGTATTGTCTGCTTGCAATGTCATTGACTCTTGCAGGTGAAACAGAATCTTGAGCTTCAAGTCTTCACAGGTAAGCGAAGCAGGACCCAGCTTTCAAATATATTAATTTTTAAGGATGACATTTACTTGGAAGACTCTGTTCACGATCTAGGATCTTAAACAGATTTAAAAATGCTTCACAGAACAGCTTTACAGATCTTGGGCACTAACCACCTACATGATGCCTAAAATAATCTTCTTCAATCACTTTTTAAATTTTCTATGCTAAATTCAGATACATGAGCTCAGTGCACATTTGTTTTGAATGTAACTTTTTCCAGTTGATTGATATATGCCTAAATTCTGGCTCTTCCTATCTGAGCAACCTGGGCAGGTGGGCAGGAGTGCAGCTGTTGTGACAACTGGCCTTTACTTGAGACACTCTGCGTGCAGAATACCTCAAGGGCAGTGTGTGGGGCAGCGCATTCAGCGGTGTTCCTTACTGCTGGTCCAAAGACAGTAGCGTCAGCACCTGCTTCTGGTGGGATAGGGGATGGTTTTCTGGCCTTGTCCCCTGAACTGCCCAGCCAAGGCGAGTTATAAAATGAAGGGAAATGAGTGCACAGTATTTACTGCAAGGCCAACGGTAGGGGGGTTTCTTGGAACAGAACAGTTCATTAGTTTTATTTACCTTACCTCTTCCAGTCTTCTCCATGCCATAACACATGGGGAAATGATATCACCAGGGGACAAAATCCCGAGAGATTCCACTGTCTTCAGGATTTGGTGCAAATTATTTATTTTAGAAATAGCCCAGTGCACAGTTATCATAACTAATAAAATAACCTGAATTAGTTAAACCATATCACAACTGTCACAAAATTACTTGTTCCTTTACATTTTACCCCCGTCAATTATAGCCACATCAGCTAAAAAGCCTTGGAACTGTGCAGTGTGATTTGTGGGGTCCTGCATGGCCTTGGGAGGACCTAACAAAACCATAAATTTTTTTTGCTCATGCAGCAAGTCACCATAACCTGCACAGGTCTGCCGCGTTTATCAACTGACGGACGGCACACTATCTGGATCATTTAAAGCACTTTAGAGCAGCTTTTGTATCAAACTTGTGCTTCTCTCCACATGTTCTGCCTGATTTGTTTCTAAATCCAGGAAATATTGGGGGGGAAAAGAATGTCACTATTATTGCCACTGGTGCTGATCTGGGCACTGATGTAAGCTATGGGGCAGACCTGTGAATTTGTATGCATGGATGCCACCCTTATTCACCCACTGACTTCATTAGGACTATTTGGGAGAATTAGAGCTTGCAGATTCAAGCTCTCTGTTTATTATTTTTCACTTATTTGTGGGAGAATCAGACTAATGATACCCAAGCCGCGGCTCCTATATAAAATTCAATTGTTCTACAGTCATCTTACCTTCCCATATACAAAGCAATACAAAGTAATTCCCATGGCCCATACATCAAGTGCCTGAAAGAAAGCAATTGCACTTAGTAAATTAGATCCAACAGCTAGATACATTTTAGATCAGACAGCTATTTTCTCAAACATAAAAATAAACTCTTTTTCATTAGGAACCTAATTTTATAGATACTGAACAATGTAATTAGACAGATACATTGTTATATGCACACAAACAAGTCTGCAAAGCACCTAGCACACTTTGACCAATATTGGCCAGATTCTGCCAGCCTTAATCACATCCAGTAGTTCCTCACTGTACGAACAATCCCATTCATTTCAATCAGACTACTTGTGGAGGAAGACACAACTTAACATGAGGAAGACTGGCAGAAATCTGACCTAGACAAATAATAATGGATCAAAACCTGAAGCCTCATTCAGGCAAAACTCCCATTGGCGTCTACGGGAGTTTTGTCTTGAGTAAAACAGAGTTAGGACCTCAGGATTTGACTCAATAATAAAAGAAAAATTCTTCTTTATTTTACCTGTGGAACAGAGACACACCAAGGAGTATGGTTTGGATACCACCCTTCTTTTCATGTTCCCCAGGTACTAAAACTCAGACTAATTAGTGGTGATCCAAGACTTACCTTTCCACTGAAGCTTTTGCCAGAATCTGAAATTGCCTCTGGAGCCATGAAGGCTGGTGTCCCGGCAGTACTGGAAAGCTGGGCATCATTCCCTTCAAACTGATTACTGACTCCAAAATCAGCTATTTTGACATGCCCATCGTCTCCCAAGAGCAGGTTGGAAGGCTTGATGTCCCGGTGAATGATCTTCTGATAGTGCACTGTAAACAGATGGGAACATGCTCTTCAAAAGCTGCCCAGCATATCCGGAAGAAACCACAACATATAACAGCACCCTTCCTTCTCCAACAAAATGCTAGCTAATGCCCAGGCTTATAGATCAGATTTTAGAAAGACAAGGGCTTCATCATACTTTCTAAAATAGTTGATGACCCACTATTGTTCTGTAGTGAGCCTCGTTCAACCCTCTTGGGGAGTTAGAAAATATTTCCCCCTTGCTGAGCTTAGTATTTTTGAAGCTCTCTCTTAAATTTGAATGGCCATAAAATCAACATGGGTGGTTGTATTTAAAATGACAGCAACCTTAATTTATATGGTGTAAATTAGTCAGTCAAAGCATTTTTATGTATACATGTCATCACTTATACCAGCACAGCCCTGGGACCAGTGATTGTCAGAGGACTACTGTTCTGTGCATAAAAGGAGGATTTTAGTCCCCAGTGTGGTATGGTGAGTGGAAATGGAGAACGGTCACATTTCAAAAGGGACTGAGATTGGCAAGGGACCAGGGCTCAGGAATACAAGCCATGGCTGCGTTGCTGCTAGATGAGCAATAGAACCTCATCAGGTAACATCGGCCAGTCTAGGATTAATAGAACTGCTTTCTACAACTCTGCCTGCCTGTTGTGTCACTGGGGAGCAGAGGGTGCTGGGGTTCATGGGGGCTTCTGAAGCATGCTGGAAGATCCCGGGGATGAGTGAGGGTGGTGAAACTCCCAAGTGGCTGGAGCAGCTGCCTGCAGAAACAGGGAGCCCAGGGCCCATATCAGGCCCCTCACCTTCTGCCACTGCTCCAATCTCACTCCTGCCACTTCCTGGTGGCACATGGCTGCCTGCTCAGCGGATGCCACTGCAGCCTCCAGTGTCCAAAAGGTGCAATTGCAGGCAAATGCCCACAGCCTTCCAGCAGCTTGGCCAGATGCATGGCATCTCAATCAAGATGCAGCATTCTGTGGGAGGACTGTCAAATGCGTGTCACATGAGATGCAGCCAGGGCTGTCAATCTGGCACTTTTCGCCAGCACTGAACAAACGTTAAGAGGAAAATCAAACTGATAAAGGCAATTAACCAAAGAGAGTGGGCATAGCCCCAGAGATCTTAATACCCAGGGAGAGGGAGTTTTGCTGTTGAAGAAGGAAATAATTACAGTCAAGTCTTGCAGATGGTGCAAAGCTTTACTCCATCTACCAGCTCCAAATGAATCCACAGGACTGCTCATGTGAGTAAAGGTTTGTGGGATGCAGCCCATGGGTTCCATTTTTTAGATGTTTATCTCAAAATTGCAATTCTACTTGACTAATCTACATAACATTAGACCCCCCACACAGAAAGAAACATGCCCACATGAGAAGACTGGAAGATTGAGGGGGCTAAGATAGCATCCTTGTGCCAAGGGGAACTGACACATCAAAAAAATCAGTGAACATTTTCAGTTTGAAAGAGGCTGTTTTAAACCCGAGTGATAATCAGATTGCCGATGCCAGAACTCTGGAGAATACCACCATGCTCTAGTTGTGCCATAAACAGGAACCTTTGAAAGAGACACAGAATGTTTTATTCTAAAAGAGAATAAAAGGAAAGAAAAAAACATTCTAACCTTGAAAATAACAACCACTCTCATGTTCAGAAATGTGCCCTTACAAGCTATTGTCACAGGAACCCTTTCATAGCAAAGTCATGTTTCAAACCAGCTTCCATTCTGAAATGTTACAAACAGGAAAGATTGCAATTATGATTAGGTTGAATGAATGAACTGCTTCCTGGGCAAGTGAGAATGGACTCTAAGTCTTAACTGGTTTATAGCACTGCCAAATATCAGATCCAGCTGAATTATATAAGGTGGAAAAGCTCATCATTGCAGATCACGAGGTCAAGAGATAGCCTTACAACAAATTCACTACTTGGTTTGCAGTTTATCCTGGAGGCAATACTGTTGCGATAAGAAAAGGAATTTTTATGTCCTGGAGTAAAGGGGAAGAAGGAAATTATAAAATGAAAACCAGATGTATTGTACAGCAATATCGTGACAGCAGTATTCAATTTAAACAAAAACTTTCAAAAAAGGTTATCTGAAATGTCACTGTCATCTAAAGCAAAGTGTTATATAAGAACTTGAATAGCATACAACAATCTAATTGATTTCTTTGTATGATACTATGTGTTTACCCAGTTGGGGTGATCCACCCGTCTTCCCTTCCCAACAGTCAGAAGTTTAGGATTGCCTCGGGCATGGGGTTGCGTCTCTGACCATCTTGGCTAATAGCCATTGATGGACCTATCCTTTATCTCGTTCTTCACCGAGTTATACTTGGCCAGTTATACTTTTGGCCATCAACATCCCATGGCAATGAGTTCCACAGTTTAACTTGCCATTGTGTGGAAAAAGTACTTCCCCTTGTTTGTATTAAACCTGATGCCTATTAAAAAAAATAATAATAATTGTGCCTCTGTTTGCGTAGTGAACAGATTCTTTTAGTAAGTATTCTTCTTTAAGAGCTAATCTAGATGCATAATGGACCAATTCCCAGACAAATGCTCACAGGACAGTGCTAAGAAACATCAGTGGTCATTCTAGCCCAGATTTGCTGTTGCTGTGCAATTATATCGTGATGTGAATCGGTTAACTCTTGTGAGAGGCTGACTAGACAATCTGGGTAAACACCAAACACCCTATGACAACAGTAATTATTATCAGACATCTGCTGCCGAGCAAACCTATTGATGAGCTGACATTTCATTATGGTAATGCAAGAAAGAAAATGAAACTGCAGTTTCCCTTCAGGAAATGATTAGCTGCCTTTCATGCAGGTGTGAAATATAAGATTCTTAAAGAATAAGCCAGAGACTGCAGGGCTCAGATTCTCAACACATTTTTGCAAGTAAAATACAGGCCATGAAATATAGGTCAGATTAATTCAGCTGTGGAGTTAAAGTCTATTGAAATCGATGGAGTTTTACACCAGGGGAGAATTTAGTCCGGGATTTTTATTATTTCATCCATAAAACAAAGTAAAACATGATTCCAAGTCAAATAAATATTTATCTTTCAAAATATATTACTTGCCTTTGTGAAATCTAATAAAAAGATAGTAAATACAAGCTCTTTGGTGTAGAAACTGTTGTTGATGATATGTTTGTACAGCACTCAGAACAATTAGGCCCTGATCTAGGTAGGCTCTGGGTACAATCACAATATAAAATGTTAAATAATATGTACTACAAATAAATACATAATAAATTGTAACCGGGATCAAGTTCACAAGTCATTATGTTCAAGGATTGCAAATGAGTATTATTTGTTTATTTGTATTATAATAATAGTTAGAGGACACAACCAATATTGGGGCCCCATTGTGCTAGGCACTACACAAACATGGTGAGAGATAGTCCTTTCCTTGTAGAGTTTACAGACTAAATTTTCAAAACCACCTAAATGGCATAGGAGCCTTAGTCAAAATTTGACTTATAATCTAAATAGAGAAGACACTGAAAGCAGGTGGGGAAACAAGCAGAAAGGTGAAGTGACTTGCCCAAGGTCAAATGGCTGGTCAACGGCCAATCCAGGTCTCCTGAGCACCAACCCAGGGTCATATTCAGTGCCTCTCTAATAGTAGTGACCAGAGGCACCGACTTTGGGATTTTCTGGGGGGTGCTGGACCCCCGCTCTGCTCCAGGCCCCGCCCCTACTCGACCCCTTTCCTCAAGCCCAATCCCTGCCCCCACCCCACATCTTCCCACCCTCTCCCCTTGCCTCTTCCTGCCCCTCCCCCCAGTGCCTCCTCCATGCTGCTGAACAGCTGACCGCGGTGGGCAGGAGGTGCTGGGAGGAGCTGATCGGCAGGGCCGCCAGCGGGTGGGAGGCGTTGGCGGGGAGGGGAAGGAGCTGATCTGTGGGGCTGCTGGTGGGACTGCCTGTGGGTGCTGAGCACCCACTATTTTTTTCCTGTGGGTGCTCCAGCCCTGGAGCACTCATGGAGTCGGTGCCTATGGTAATAACAGCATTATACCAGTTAACTCAAAGATATTTACACTATTACCCCCACCTTCTCCCCTACACAACCTCCTGTTACATATGCGAAAGCCATACTGATGAGAAAAAGAAATGAGAATAGAACCATTTCTAAACATTGCAGTCCAAATTCCCTGCTGATGTAAATGGGAGGAGCTCTGTTGACTTCAGTTGTGTGTTGCTCATTTACAACAATGGATAATTTGGTACTGAACTGCTAGCTAGAACACTCCCTCTAATTACTTATAGTAAGTAATAAAATGACCTAGAGGGGAGCCTAAAATCAAAGAAATCTGTCCTCAGTTCTAGTGTGGGCCATGTATAGTTAGTTTTTCCATCCTGAAGAGTTTGCAACATTATTTCAAACACAGGGAGAGCTCTGCAAACCCATTCCCAGGTGGATATAGTTCTTCAAAGAAATCTCAATGGAGCAAACAGAGCTGTTAGTCCCAGGTCTCACATTACTGTGAAATGCATTTGATACATATGGGGCTGTGTAAGGAACGATAAAATATAGTTCCATATGGACTTGACCCTAGTCAATGAAAACAACTCCCAGTGATTTCTGGTCCTATGAAAAGAACCAAGAACTATTTATCCATACAACATAAATAAACATCAGATTTCAAAAAAATTCCCAGCCAACCAGCTTTGGAAATAAGAGAATTCCAGATCTCTCATGAATGAAATAAAAGTAACTTGCTAATTTTAATTAGAAAGGGGACGAAGCTGCAAACTTTGGATTCAGGTCCGAAATTCTGTAAAGTACGGGAGCATTTAACTTGGGCCATCTCCAGTTTTAATAGAGACCATAATAAAACTGTAAAACTTATTGCGATTGCTGACTCATGTAACTAGATCGTGCAAACAAATTGGAGGCAAATAATATGAGACAACAGCCATCTACTGTATCAGCTGATTAGCTGAAAGAAAAACATAAGACACCTGATCTCTTAAAGTAATGAATATCAA